CTCGTCTCTTGGGGTTTTGTCTAGGCATGATTTTTATTTTCTTTCCTTTTTCCCCCTTTAGGTTTTTTTGTATATATTATATGATGGTTTCCATGTTGTATTTTTATGAGATTTCCATGTGTTCCTTGTGCTTTTATCTTTGGATCTTTTCCTCCCAGCTGTTTATTTCTTCTTATTTCAGTTTGTTTTCTTCTTCTTCTTCTTCTTCTTCTTCTTATTATTATTATTATTATTATTATTATTATACTCTTCAGAGAGAGTGAGAGCAAGAAAGTGAATGTGTGTGTGACAAAGAGAAGAGAAGAGAAGAGAAGAGGAGAGGAGAGGAGAGGAGAGAGAGAGAGAGAGAGAGAGAGAGAGAGAGAAGATTTGCCTGGATGGGGAGTAGGGGACAATCTGGGAGGAGTTGGGGGAGGGGAAATCATAGTCAGAATATATTGTATGAAAAACAATCTCTTTTCAATTTTACCAAAGGGAAAGTAAGTGGCGTTAAGTGATGCCATCATTATAGGAGGACCAGCCCTACAGACAGGGCTCAGTTTAACAAACAGCAGCCCTCTCGAAGTGGCACTAGACTGTTGCTCTTCTCTGAAATGCTTCTTTGGAAAAGCATCATTAGCCAAATTCGGTCAGTTCATAGCCATAGATTTTCCTGGGTGAGGGTGACCTAGCTGTCTTTGTATTCAAATATATTCTGTTTTAACATGGTTGCTATTTGTGGACATCAGAATTTTCAATTTCCCTTTTATTAACAAATATGTGATTAGATTATTTCAAACAAGAGCCATGTGATGATCCATCAAGAAAATTCAAGCCCTTCTGAGTACTGCAAGAGCTAGAGGATGGCTGTTTTCCTGCCAATGGCAGCTAGCCTCTCATTTCTGGGTTAGGATACTCCTTAAGAGTGTTTACTCCATGCTCAGCTGCAAACAGGACATCTGTACTATACCTCCTCTCCAGAGGTTCAGGCTCCATCGTGGAGAGGGACCAAAAAGGCTGTATGAGAGAGCATCCTCTGGACACAGTAAGATTGCTGCTCTCATAAACTCACAAGGTTGTGTTTGCTTGCACAAGATCAATAGTCAGTGTTCAGCTTCTAGGTGGGAAAGGTTCACTAGTGCCCACCTCTTGCTGAGGAGCCATCAACAGTCGATGGATTCTGAGGGAGATGGAATGTCAATTTCTTTAAGGGCGTGGTTCCGGTAGGTGGAACACACTCCAGTAGATGGTCCTGCACACATGAGTATATGAGCAGCACACATTGTATCAGCAAATTGTTAAGACAAATAAAGAGGACCCAGATTGGAAGGGCATGAGGGTTAACAGAGGGTTCTTGAAGGAGGTGCAAAGAAGAATGGGGGTGAACAAGACAAAGTGCATAGCATGCATGTGTGAGATGATTAAAGAATTAACAAGAATAATATATAGCATCCTTTTGTATTTTAAAATATATTTAACTCAAACTTTTACTTAAATGATCATAGGTAGCAGATGGATACCAAGTTACTCAGTGAGAACTTCATTTATTCCTCTTGTTTTGCATGAGTAAGGAGCGACTCAGAGAATCTATATAGTTTCTAAGGGAGGAAATCAAGACTAAAATTCAGACCTTGTGATTGCTAAAAGTAATGCTGTCTGTATGGTGTTCAGTGGCATTTCTGTGCATCTATGTGCACACTTAAAAGGAAAATCAACTGTTTTAAAAGGAGTCATACATTTTTGAAAGTACTAATTTTTTTAAAAGGTTTAATATGATAAGTCATCTGGGAAAGACAAATTAAATGGATGTTTTTTATTAACAAAATGATAATGTTTGTTATTGGTGAGTGAGATAAATACTCTTTTATAACCATTTATAAAAATGATAATCATTAATACAGTGTTGTAGGAGATCTAGTTTGTGGCAAACATGTTATTAACATACATATTAATAAAGCATTTCAGCTTTGTTGTTATCTGAAATTCCAGCATATACATAAAGAAATGCGTTCAGGGCATTAAAATCATAAAGTTTTCTGAAATCCTAGAAACACCTACAGATCTAGTAGTAGAAAATGAATAAGACAGATACAGAAAAAATGAATGAGTTCTGTTTCCACATTTTCCAGTGATGTTCAAATACACTGTTGTTAAAAAATAAAATAAAATTCAAGATCCAGAAAACAGGAAAGTGCCAATGCAATAGTGCCATTTATATAAGACAATGGGGAAAAGTTATAACTTTATATTGTTTTAAGAATGTGTGTAGAGATACTGTGAAAAAAAGTTATCTGGAGATGGGGTGGCCACTAAAAGTTGACTTCTTTTTTGTTATTTTGGCCTCATATTTGTTGGATTTGCCTCAAGTCACTGACATTGTACATGTGAAATCTTTAAGGCAATGTTGATTATTGAACATTACATTTAAGTTAAAACACTTGGTCTGAAGAACTAAATTTTTTTTATGCAGTCATCAACAGCTTAATTTCCTAGGTGCCTTAGACATTGGGTCCTTGGTATGGAGCCGTGAACCAAATAGGTATATTCTTGCACCTGAAAGACTTTCCCTACAGTTTAGAAATAGATGTGTTTTCTCTGCAGAGACCATCTGACTTCCTTTTCTTTTGGGGGGCATAAGGGGTTCTAGACAGAGTTTGGCTATGTAGCTTTAGCTGTCCTGAAACTTGCTCTGTAGACCAGGCTAATCTCGAACTCATGGAGATTCACTTGCTTTTGCCTCCCAGGTTCTGGGATTAAAGGTGTGCGCCACCACCATCTGGCCCACTCTGACTTTTATATGATTCTCTTCCCCACAACTCTAATCCACCTCCTGCTCTTCCTGACTCCATTAAGAAGTGTATGGAGGACTGTACAGAGGATACAATCACAGCCAACCAAACCCATCTCTTTGCTTTTTAGTCATCCACAGGTGACCAAAGGATCAAGGCAAAAATAGTACAACGTCAGCAAAAGAGACCCTCTTCACTTGTCCCAGAAGTGTCCAGATCTCATCTATGACAGCACCTGAGCTAGAAAGCCGCCAACTTCAGAAATGACTGACTTAGCAAATGTGTTGCTGAAAACATACATTGATGAAAGCTGCAGACAGCCTGCACCTGGGCAACTGCTAGCTTGAATAGTTGAAGCTCCTAGCACACACAAGTTCTACACACACTCTGTAGTTGGTTTTTTTCCAGTGCTGCTCCCTCCATGGTAATGAGGAGAATGCCAGGCTGTCAGACTGTCCTTCGAGGCCCTTCCACCAGCTGCAACTTCAACATTGTGTGAAGCTTGCCCACACTGGTGGCCGTAGACAGAATCCATGCTTCTGGGCTGCTTCTGAGAACCACTGTTCATATTTCTTAGCAATTTAAGTCTGTTCCTCGTCTCTTATGCCTGCAAATGGAAATCCCTCCATTTCATAGTCTCAGCTGCTAGAACTACTTCATACTGTCATCATCAAAAAAGACAAATGCTTAACCCCAGGAAGAAAGTAGTCTTCAAAGTTCCTGATGTGTCTTAGAGCAAAGAACAGCATAGTGAAGATTCTACGCCTGTAACTTCTCAGTTGAGAACAATTCAAGCTCACAACTAAAGGCTCTCTCTGTGTGGAACAATGGCATTAAACTCCTGTATCACCTCCACCTCCACCAACCTGTGTGACCTAGGTAAGTACCATAGACAGGCACATTTAACTCCAATGTCATCCCACCTCCACCAGCCTGTGTGACCTAGGTAAGTACCATAGACAGGCACATTTAACTCCAATGTCATCCCACCTCCACCAGCCTGTGTGACCTAGGTAAGTACCATAGACATGCACATTTAACTCCAATGTCGCCCCCACCTACACCAGACTGTGTGACCTAGGTAAGTACCATAGACAGGCACATTTAACTCCAATGTCGCCCCCACCTCCACCAGCCCGTGTGACCTAGGTAAGTACCATAGATATGCACATTTAACTCCAATGTCGCCCCCACCTCCACCAGACTGTGTGACCTAGGTAAGTACCATAGACAGGCACATTTAACTCCAATGTCACCCCACCTCCACCAGACTGTGTGACCTAAGTAAGAAGCGTCAACATGCACATTTAACTTCAACATCATCCCCACCTCCACCAGCTGGTGTGGCCTTCGTAAGTCCCTATTTTTCTCTTTCTTTCCGATGCTGCTCTATTTTCCTTATCTCAGCTTCTTACAAATTGCTGTTCTGGGAAGTCTTCCCTGAGTTACAAATCAGTGTTCTTCCTGCCCATATGACTAACGTTGACCCCCCCATACTCTGCTGTCTAACTTGTTACACAGCATTATAATTGCAAACATGTTCCTCAATTTATCTTAGCTTTATCATCTCATTTATGTTGCCGGCCAATACACAATTTCTACCAGTTTAACAAATATTAAAACAATTGCTAATGCTAGGAACATACTACAGGTAAAGCTGTATAAACACATTCTCTCCGATTGCCACAAAATCCTACTAGAAAGTTAGTAGTGTTATTGATGTGTTTGTTGCTGATGAAAGTAAATGCAAGAAAGATGACAGAGATGGTTAGTAGGGCATCAGGGGAGTTAACAATCAAGCCCTTGCTGCTTTAAGGACCATGCTTTTAGCTGCTACCCTGTGAATAGGAGCTTACAACACCAGCTCTGCGTATTTAGTGAACTCAGACTCCGTATTAGAACTGTCACACTCGTTAAGCTCCCTCAAACCCTGGGATCTACATACAGTGGTCATAATACCAATTTTTTAATGTACAATTAAGGTTTGGAAGTGTTAGTGATCTCGCCAAGGTCAATGAACAAGGACTATGAATGCAAGTGAATCTCCCTCCAGAGCCCGAGTCCTAACCGACTAACTGGTTACATGATGAGATGGTAGAATGGACTTGAATCTTTGAAAACACTATACACGTTTTCAAGAATAACTACCTAGAACAAAACTGGATCCTAACCCCTTCTGAGTAATGCAAACCAACCAAACTGATCTACCACCTGCCTCCCCCCAACACTCACCTTAGCACATGTGTGGATCCATTAATGGTTGTGGTTGAACAGGGGACAGTCTGGCCCAGAATGGAGGGTCTTCTGTAGCGTTCATCATCACAGCAGAGAATGATGAGGAAGGCACGTCTGAAAGACTTATTCAAGAAGGCATAGAGAAAGGGGTTCAACCCTGAATTGATGTAGCCAAGCCAGAGGAAGGCAGTCCACACCTGCTCAGGGACAGTGTAGTCTATGAATGGGTCCACGACATTGGTGACAAAGAAGGGGGCCCAGCAGAAACAGAAGCAGCCCATGATGACGCATAAAGTCTTGGCTGCCTTGGTCTCTGTCCGCATGCGATGTGTGCTGTGCTGGTCAGCTGGCTGGGGCCTGCTTTCCGGGGTAGCTCCTGCTCGTTGTAACATCTGGATCTGCTGGGCATGCTCCTTAGCAGTGACATAGATACGGTAATAGGCCAGCACCATGAGGAAAAACGGGATGTAGAAGGCTACAACAGAGCAGGTGATGGCGTAGGGCTTGTTAACCATGAAGACACAGCATGTCGAGTTAGAGTTGTGGTTGAGTTTCCTTTTTTCTATCTGAGAGTGGGCGGTGGGGAGAAAAAATGAGGGTGGGAAGGTGAGTGAGGAGCAAGCAATGAAAAAATGGCAAAAGTGAAAAAAAACATGGGAAAAAATGGAAAGAGAAGAGAAGAGGAAGAAGATAAAGAAGAGCGCAGGAGAGAAAGAAGGGGAAAGAGAAAAGAAAAAAATAAAATTTATTATTAAAATTTTATTTTTCTTACAAATCTATAGCACATAAGACTTTCACGGTAGAAAAAGAACATAGTCCAGAGTTCAATGAGTTTGTCTATGTGAGGTCTCAGGAAGAAAAGGAAGATAGAATCGGTAATCATTCTCAATTACATCTACACATTTTCTTCCTTGTCTGACTTGTTCATAACACATGAATATCCTTTAACAGGATATCTTAGATCACTACCACCATCAAATATGTTTATGATATGTGCAGATTTTGATCCCTCATATAGATCAATTGCTGAATTTCTTCATTTTAGCTGCCACATTTTTTTTTTTTTTTTTGGTTTTTCCAGATAGGGTTTCTCTGTGGCTTTGGAGCCTGTCCTGGAACTAGCTCTATAGACCAGGCTGGTCTCAAACTCACAGAGATCCGCCTACCTCTGCCTCCCGAGTGCTGGGATTAATGGCGTGCGCCACCATCGCCCGGCTAGCTGCCACATTTTTAAATAATAACTTGGTTAATGTTTGAAAACTTCACCCTGTATCATTGTAAACCCAGATCTTTGGGAAATACTGAGCTCTTTCCTAGATTTGTTTCTTTTCTTTCTAGATATACTGATGGAAGTTTTACCATTTAGAAAGTATAGTACTGGAAGCATCAACATAGAGAAATGAGCAAAAGAAGTATAGGGCTTGGGAGAAAGGAAAGGTAGATATTTCACAATCACAAAAGATAAAAAACAGTAGTTGCCCGATTGTCCATAGTTTTACCTCTCATGGCTTTTGTTAACATAGGTCAACCAGTTCAAACATTGGATAAATAAACAATTCCTAATTTTTAAAGTGTATGTCATCCTGAGTAACATTAAGAAATTCTACGTACTCCATTCTCTTCTGTCTCACAGAAGAAGTGAGTCATCCCTCTCTCCAGCATGTCTACATTATATATGTCACACAATCATTAACTACTTGGTGACATTCTCAATCATCAGAATGACTGTTGAGATATTTGCCTTCAGGTAGCCCTTATTTTCCTTCACCATGGCCCAAAGCACAAGATTAGTGCAATTTGATAGTAGCATGTAGTTGTAATTGTTCTACTTTATTACAGTCATTGTTATTGATCTCTTTCAGTGCCTAATTTATAAGATGAATTTTATCATACATGTGTATAGGGAAGATATTGTATGTATATGTAGTATATATGTAGTGGTTCCAGGAATCCTCAGGGGTCTTGGAATGCAACACCTAGTGGATAATGGGATATCCATTCTTGTCTCCTATCTTCTACTGAATCCACTCCACTCAGGACTTATTTCCAGTCCTTCCACCCAGACTGCCATGGTCAAGGTTGCCAAAGACCTCCACAAATCTAAGTCTTATTTTAAATCAGCTAGTGTATTGATGCATTAACGTATTGATGCATCTGAACATCTGAACCTCAAAGCCTCCCTTACAATACATATTTTATTAAAGTGCAATGTACAAAATCATAAATGTGTATGGTGAATGAATTTTACAAAGTAAAAATACATATGTACCCATACATGTACAAATTAAAGTATAGAATATTAGTGGCATCTCTAATGCCTCCAAAATGCCCCTCTCAGTTATAAGCATATAGTTGGTTCTTATAGTCATGTAGTTCCCAATGGACTGTATCAATGAACATTTCTGCCACTAGGCTAGGAGCACACTAGTTACTACACATCCTAGGTATCACTTGTCACAATAGTCTATACATAGATGTTCCTCATTGTGGGCTTGTTTGAAACTTTTTGAAAGTACTATCCATTTCTCTCTTTCTCCCTCTTTCCCCCTTCTTTGTCTCCTCTCTCTCTCTCTCTCTCTCTCTCTCTCTCTCTCTCTCTCTCTCTCTCATGTGTGTGAATGTGTGTGTGTTAGTTCTTTGAGAATTTTCAATAGTGTGCTTTGATAATATTCACCCTTCCTCCCCCCAAGTCTCTCCAGATTGGACCCATTCCTTTTTCACCCATTTGTGTCTTTAATTTCCATCAAGGCCAACTTGTGTTTCCCAAATATACTTGGATTGTGGTCTTCCATTGAAGCATGACAGACTTATCAATGGCTACACTCTTAAGGAAAACTGATTCTTCCTTGCCCAGCAGCTAGTAACTGCCAGAGGTAAGACTTGATGCCTAATTCCCCAGTCAGTGCTGGGATTTGGTCTGGCTCGAGTTTGCATATGTCTTATGCATGCTGTCATAACCACTGTGAATTCATATGTGCAGCTTCTCTGATGGATTCAGAAGACAGTATTTTGCTGTCATCATTCAAAGCAAGTGACTCTTACATTCTTTATTCAATGATCCTTGCATCTTTGGAGGAGGAAGTGTGGCACACAAGTACCTTTTAGGGATGAACATTTTATGGTCTCTTATCTCTGCACATTGATTAGGTGTGGGTATCTGTGTTGATCATGGTCTACCGCAAACAGAAGCCTCTCTGATGAAGGTTGAGAGCTGCCTTAATCTGTAGGTGTAATGTCATTAGGAGACCATTCAATACTATATCCATTTAGCAGAATAATAGTAGTAGGTTCTTTCCCAGGGTCTGTGATCTGTGCAGTATAGGCTCTTTGTCTGATAATGGGAACAGGTATGGGCTTCATCTTGTGAAGGTGACCATAAATTCAATCAGAAAGTGATTGGTTGTTCCAACAAGATTCATGCCTTTCATGACTTATGTCTTTCAAGGCCAGTCATTATTACAGCTTACAGGATTCACAGATGGGTATGACTGGTGATGGATTTTCTCCTCTGGTAGCATGTATAACCTCTGCCAGCACCATGAAAGTTAGCCAGCAGGGATGAAGCTTCCAAGTCAGTACCAGCTTGATTTTCCATGTTCTATGATTCAATAATGTGGTGTGTTTGGTAGTTTGGTCTTATTGCCAAGTTCTGGTTGGTAACCAGGAAGACTGGCAATAGCCTTTATTGTGTGACCATCTTGGGGAAGCTCATGGGACAAGAGGTCAAACTTGAACAATTTCTTGGTCTTCCTTGCCCACATGATTTGAACATACTGACATGCATTTCTTGGGAAAGAAGGGATGAGTTTTTGCTTCTATTCCTGATTAGTGTTTTAGTTCCTCCTCTAAGACTAGATTAGAACACTGAGCTACTTCTCAACTTCTCAGGCCATAATCTTGCAATTGTGTGTTTAGACTCAATCCATGTTAGTCTTCTTAGACTCAGTGTACCCTGTCCTCTGTACTCTGTTTCATGTTTATCTCACCTCACCTGAGGAACTAGAATTTTGAATCAAATACAGTAACACAGAATAAAGTCTAAATTAATCATAGCTGCTCACATTGGGAATACGGTTTTACCACACATTTCCAGACTTCTAGATGTCAATTACCACTTTGTCATTTTTCTTGAGAAGTCATTATTCAGGAAATTTCTCCTTAATAAAGATCTATATAGGTCTTTTTTTGTTTCAATAGTTTGATATTCTGGACATGTTCATTATCAAATCTATATATTACAGATTCTTGGTTTATTTATTTTATTGTTTTCTTACTAGTATTAGGTGATGGAAATTTTAATTTTAAGAACCTTTAGCTTCAGTTAGTGCCTTTGTGGCCTGTTAGGAAATCTTTATCCCTCATGATAGAAATATTCTCCTATCTACCACTTGAAGACATTTTCTCATATCTTGGTACACATTTGATGTATGAATTTTTACATTGTGAATTCTTCAGTTCTTTTGGTATATACTTTTCCTGTAAGTTTTTTTTTGTTGTGGTTTCCATTGCTATAATAAAACACCATAATCAAAAGGAACTTGGAAGGAAAGCATTTATTTTATCTTAAAACTCTCAGATCACACTCGATCCCCAAGGAAAGTTAAGGCAGGAACTCAAGGTGGGAGCCTAGAATCTGGAACTGAAGCAGAAGTCACGGAGGAGTGCTGCTTACTGGCTTGCTCCCCATGGCTTGCTTAGCTGCTTCCTTATTTATGCAAGCCAGGACCCCTAGCCCAGAAGTGGCACTGACCACAGTGATCTGGTCCTCCTACATCAAGCATTAATCAAGGCAGTACTCCCATAGACTTGCCTAAAAGCCAATCAATATTATGGAGGCATTTTCCCAGTTAGGATTCCCTCTTCACAGATATGTAGAGTTTTTGTCACACTGACAAAAACAAACAGCACAGGTATGGAGTAGGAGAAAGATTTTTGTTACTAGACAATCCACATTTAATTAAATTTTAAAAATCAAAATGGAATGGTAGGAAAATCTTGAGAGCAATATAGAAAATCCTGACACACAGCCATGTGCAAATATATCTTCCTATTTAACTTTTTATTTTATCAGCATAAGACATCTTTATCTGAATTAATACTATGTGTGTTAAATATGTTTCATCACATGTAGTAGTAAAGCTATACAAGCTTTTTAAAAATTCAGTTCTTCTCCCTTTCCTTCTACCCCCTGCCCCCATGCTCCCAACTTTGTCTGGCAATCTTGTCTGTTTCCAATTTCCAGATGGGTCTGTATATGGTTATTTTTTTTTTTGGATCCACCTTATTGCTTAGCTTCTCTATATCATGAACTATAGGCTCAATGCCCTTTGTTTATAGCTAGTAGAAGGGGAAAAGGAGGGGAGAAGGGGAGTCAGGAGGAGAACTTGAGGGAATGGGATAGTCGAGATGGAGGAAGGACAGATATGAGAGCAAAAAAAGAGATAACTTGACTGAGGGAACCATTATGGAATTAGCAAGAAACCTGGCTCTAGAAAAATTCCCAGGAATCCAAAAGGATGACCCCAGCTAAAACCCGAAACAATAGAGGAAAGGGTGCCTGAACTGG